CAAGAACTATATCATGTTCTTGTGTTATGTGATAGTTCATTGTTGTTGTTGAATTTGAATTAGCATGATTATATTGATGACCACATTTTTCTTTTTTTCCATCTCTAATTATTTCAACTTGGCATATTGCATATGACTCTTTTAATTCAAAATATTTCCATACTTTAGCTCTAAATTTACATTTTTTGCTTCTTTTTTTCAGTAAACTAGTATTTTTATTATCTTTTAAGACTGATAATGATGATTTAAAAGAAGTCCCTATTTTGCCACTATTAATATCAAGTTTACTATTAGTTTCGAAATCATTATCTATTCAACTTTCACTATTTTGGATATTCATTTTTAACGAAAAGTTGTTGAATTAACTTTTTTAAGGTTTTGATTACGCTTGTTTACTAATTAAAACTTGCATAAATCAAATTCTAATTTTAGTATTTTACCATGCAAATTTAAACATTTATAAACATAAATATTATCACAGTTATAATGATAAACTTTTAGGTATTTATATATATTTTTAACGTTAATAACAAAAAGAAATTGAATCAACTTTTTAAGGTTTTGATTATACTTGTTTACTAATTTAAACTTGTATTACATAAAAATCTAATTTTAGTATATCAATATTACATATAAAATTTAAAATGTCATTAATATACTATATTTATTTAATCTTGAATTTTCTGTAGGAATGGGCAGTGTTATACATTTTGATATGTCCAAAGCTTTTTTGGATATGTCCAATATCCAAACATCCAAGTATCCAAAGTGTTCAAGCTGTTCATAGCTTTAAATATTTTAGTAATTAAAATAAAAATTATATGATTATATTTTTTTTTTAATTTTAAACATTTTTGTTTAAGAAGTTTAAATAGGTTATCTTAATAAAATTTTGAATAAATTTCAGTTTATTTTTTTGTCTAAAATGTCCAAGATATCCAAGATTATGTCTAAAGGCTGTCCAATGACAATACTGGGAATGAGTATATAAAAACGGTAGTTCTAATCTGGGCTTGTTTATAAAAAAATACAAACTTTATTCTTGATTCATTTATTGGGACTAAAGTAAGCATTTTATTATCAATGTGATCCATTATACTGTAATATAAATCAAATATATTTGTCATTCTGAACACTATTGCTATCTATATACTAAATTTTCAGATGCTTGCATTACATCTACCTATAATATACCTATTATTTAGTAATACTCATTTCTAAAGAAAAAAATAAAAAAATGACTGATCAATCATATAATTAACCAAAAAATTCTTCTCGATCACCATCTCCGGTAAGAATATAACTTAGTTGTTTCTATAATAAAGGGTAATATAAGATAAAAGAGGGTATCACAGTAAGGAAGGGTAATATGACAGACAGTCTCTAATAATAGAATCGAGTAGCTTTATACTTTTTGAACTTCTCTTTGAGAAGAATCAGAAGGTGTAGAATCACTTCAATTTTTTCAATGAAATATTTGCTAAATTTCATTTAATAAAATACTATAACTTACTTATTACCATCCTCACCAGATTCTATATCATTTTCAGTATTGTTCATGCTTAACTCTTTTCTGTCGCTATGCATTGACAAAGCATCTCTACTTTTCTTTAGGTGAGTCATAGTTTTCATTCGTTTATTACTTGATATAGGTGAAGCTGCAACACTGTCAATTATACTTTTACTGCTGAAATAGTCATTTCTTGGCATGCAAATATCAGGTAAATGACAAATTAACATCTCTGGATATGAAGATGCAGCAGTTTTAATATAATCATTTCTGAGTACGAATCGAATAGATGTGAGTAAGTTTGCGATGTAATACAGCCTGGTGCCTTGCATTTAGCAGCTACACCAACTTGGCTTGGTGGCTAACTAAATTAGGAGGATCTACCTTGTAAAACATTTGGAAGTCTAAACTAGTGGAGGGCCACAGCTAGAACTGGATTTGTACGAACATCGAATAAAGGTATATGCAAGCTAGATTGGAATATAGCGTAGCATAGTTGGGTTCATAACACCTATTTGTTAGAGGGTGTTGAAGTTGGACTTATACAGGTAAGAC